ACGTAAAAAAAAAAATTTTTTTTTTAAAGTGGGTGGTAGGTACATGGGTGTTTATTGCATTATTTTTACGTTCAGGATCTTTCATCAAAGAATCGTTTTTTAACAGGTTTTTAGAAACCACAAGAATTCAGTGTTTCTGAAAATAGACCCAACTAACTCAACAGATGTAAGTGATCTCAGTAATGAAGATCAGTGAAAAACTTATAAAAAGAAAACAGAAGGTGGCCTTAAGGCATAGCCAACTCAGACAGGGTGTGGAAAAGATGGTTCAGGAAGGACACATGGTCAAGTTAACAAAACCTTTGCTGCCAGGGAAGACCAAACCCCAGAAGGAGCAGACACTGTGGGGTGACTTATAGGCAACAAAAAGGGTTAATCTGGGCATGTTCAGAGCAAGCACAGGAAGAGATAGACCCATTCTTAGGAAGAAATAGGATATAGAAAAGACAGAATTTGGTTATAAACTTTTTGAGTCATAAAGTATCATATAATTCATCTGGTCCAGTGAATTTTCAGCCACTAATTTCAGAACCATAGAGGGTCCCCAGAGAAGCTAGAGGGGTACCTAGGGGGTGAGGAAGCAGGGCTACAGCCCTTCATCCCTACCTCAGCCAGAGCCCTTTTTATATTCTGGGAGAGAACTGTGGTCCTGTGCAAGCCCCTCATTTTATACGTGACTTGGAAAAAGTCCCAGAGTTAGTAAATGGTGGACATCTCCTGAATATATCAGCACGTTGCTTTCTCTGCTCCATGTCAGTGTCCCTCCTACCCTGCTTCCAATTTCTTGAGCAAAAACAAACAAAAGAAATGGGTGTTGTGCAAATATGGAAAGCTATAACCAGTAATAAGAGAAAGGCATTATGACCCAAGAGGAGCCTAGAAGAAATACAACCTTAGGGGTAAAATTTACAGACACGACTTATATATCAAAGTCATTGGCAGCAGCCCCTCCCTTACTCCTTTCTTCCCTCCCCTCTTCCTTTCTTTTGTAGAATTCTTTGTTCCCCCTAACTCTTTATGATGAAAATTATCATACATACACACAGAAATGCTGGAAGGGCAACACAACGAAGAGTGACATACTCTCCACCTAAACAGTTGTTAACATTTGCTATATGCTTCCCCTCTCCACTGTGTGTATTTCTTTTTGTTTTTGTTGAGTCATTTCAAAAAAAGCTGCACATAACATGAAACCTCACCCCTAAATACTTCAGTGTGCATCTCCTAAGAGGAGCCACAACACCATTTTCACACCTAAGAAAATTATTAGTGATTCTGTGCTGTCATCTAATATCCAGGCCACATTCACATTTCCCCTGTTGTCCCCAAAATGTCATTGATAGTGAGTTTTTGTCATTGTTATAGGGTTTTTAATTTATTTTCCTGAGCCAGTATCCATCAAAGTTCCCCACTGCATTGGTTGTTATGCAAAAGAAGGGGGACATTTTTCTAGAAAACCAAATCTAATCTGGAAATAGACCCAGCTTACTTTTCTCACCGCTGTTTCCTTTCACTTTTTTGTATTCCAGGCTGAGATCCTAACTGGCCTCACGGTCAACAGCCCTGCAGACACTGGGAAGGCTGCACAGGTGCTCTTGGAAAGGGGGTGCCAGGTCGTAATCATCACCTTAGGTGCTGAAGGCTGTGTGATGCTGTCACAGACAGAACCTGTCCCAAAGCACATCCCCACAGAGAAGGTCAAGGCTGTGGATACCACGGTAGGTTTTAAAATTTCAGAATCATTTCTGCCCCCCTTGAGAATCATCATTTATAACAAAGATACTACACCTGAGTTTTTGGATCATAAGGTAAGGGCCCAAGGAGGTGATACGATAGAAGGGAAGAAAAACCAGGCAGGAGCACTATATCTTAATCCTTCCCCAACCCACTGTGGGACTTTCTACAAGTCACTTAACCTCTCTGAGCCTCAGTTTCCTCATCCATAAAAACAGAATATCAGTAAAACTATACTTGTATCACCTATATTCATTCATTGATTCATCCAGTAAATATGTATTGAATACCTGTTATATGCCTATCATCTATTAAGTTCTGGGGCTATCGTGATGAACAAGACATAGTCTCTGCCCTCATGGGGCTTAGATTTTAGACCGTATGCCCAGCTGCTGGTTCTTACAAGCCTCCTGTGTGGAATGAAAGTGCAAGGATCACTGGCTGGCAAAACTCATTCTTTTGTCCATCAGATGATGCCCACTATCATCTACTATGCGCTTACTGTGTCTCTTTGGCATACATCTCATGTGATCTTTACAACAATGACATGAGCTATATTATCTTCATTTTACAGATTTAGACACTTGCTTAGGACCATAATGCTAGGAAGTAACAGAGCTGGGGGGTTCAAAACTTGGCCTGTGAACTCCAGATACTTCTTGTGTAAGGCATGCATTAAGGACAAGCAGGTTACATAGACGAGTCACAGCCCAGAAGGGGGTGGAAGGGAAGACAAGCTAGAAAAAAAAGCCCAGAGGTCCTCTAAATCTGGGAAAATAAGAATTATTGTTTATGACCTAGAATTGAGAAGAGCGAACAAAATCGATAAATACCAGGAACCTAAAACTAGAGTTGGGGAAGAGTAAACATTTTAGAGTTTTTATTTATAAGAAATTAATGTGTAATTATTTATAAAATATATTTTGGTTTTTATGCTTAGAAAAGGCTTTAAAATGTGGGTCATTAAATAAATAAAATAAAATAAAATAAAATAAAATAAAATAAAATAAAATGTGAGTCATTTATCAAAAAGGAGCCTAAGCAAATGTAATGAAGTCGTGGATGCAAATACGCTCTGAAAGATAGATAAGTACAAGGACTGCTTTTTATCACATGAAATCACACCCTGATTGCCTTTCACAATGTGCTGATCAGATATTTGATCAGTTGCACTCGGTGGTGTCATTCTCTTCATAGTTAGTCATTTTGGAAACCATGAGTTTTTTTCCTGTTCTGTCACGGACAGTCGCCTGAACTTGAGAGGTTCCTTCTTAGTTCTGAAATCGACCCTGCATGAGACTAAAACGAGTCCAGGTCCTGAACTAGAGCAGAAAAGTTTACTCTTCCGTTGCTAAAAATGAAGGACCCTCATGAAGATACTGGGCCTACGTATCTACCCCGAAAGAGACTCAGCCTCTGCTTCGGGTGTCTGTGTCAGCCACAGCTCCTTTGCCCACAAGCACCAAAGCACAACTGGAATGGGCCTACACAGGAACAGGGATGTATTCGGTGCACCTGGCTGAGAGTCCGAAGGTACGGCCGAGGGCAGAAGTGAAGCCATGTCATGGGGGCCCACTCACCCCCTCCCTGTTGGCTCTGCCTGCCTTGCGGTGCTGGGCTTTGAGCTCAGGCGGGCCCACTCCTGGGAGTGGTCCCAGGCAGCTGTCTGCCCACACAGTGCCCCATGTCGTGTCTCCATCCCTGGTGTCAAATAAAAATCAAAGAACTCTCATCAGAGGATGGGAAGTGGATGCTGGTAATACAAAAACAGGCCCCGCCTGGAATGGGGAACGTCACAGAACACGCATGTGGAAATGCCCTGCCTGGGCATGGGACAAAGTGATGAAGACACCAGCCTTGGAAATGTTCAGATTCGAATCGATAGTCATTATCCTCAGAGCCATTTCATGTTGAAGGATTGGATTTCCTAGATAGTGATGGGTTGCGTCTTGAGCATCTTAAATACAGCAGGGTGCACAAGGAGGTTTTCACACTTTGCTGATACTGTTTTGTGCCCTTAAGTTTTTGGTTTCAGGAAAGTTGAAACACAGTGAGAGCTCAGAGGAGAAAAGATTACTTAAACACTTGGAGGCAGGAGGTAGAGCACGGGATCACGAAAATCGGGGCACTGGATTGGGATCAGTGAATTTTTCCGTCAAGGGCCGGACAGTAAAGTTTTAGGTTTCACGGACCTTATGCATACACGCTCTGTCACAACTGCTCACCTCTGCCATTGTAGCATGAAAGCAGCCATAAACAACTTTGTATGCTATCCAAAATGAAGTTGGTATTAATCCAAACTAGACTGTTTTAAGTTAAGATGTTAACCAGAATCACCAGTGCAATCACTAAAAAAAGAAGAAGAAAAAAAAGGCGCCTGGGTGGCTCAGTCGGTTAAGCGAAAGACTTCGACTCAGGTCATGATCACATGGTTCATGGATTCAAGTCCCGCGTCAGGTTCTATGCTGACAGCTCAGAGCCTGGAGACTGCTTTGGATTCTGTGTCTCCCTCTCTCCTGCCCATACCCTGCTTGCTCTCTGTCTCTATCTCTCAAAAATAAATAAACATTAAAAAAAAAATTTTTTTAAACCTGAAAGAAACAAAAGAATTACCATGGTACACTTCAAAATATCTATTTAACGGGCACGTGGCTGGCTCATTCGTTAAGCATCTGACTTCTGCTCAGGTCATGATCACACAGTTTGTGAGTTCAAGCCCTGCATCGGGCGAACTCGAGCTCCACTTCTCTCTCTCTCCCTCTCTTAATCCCTCTCTCTCTGCCCCTTCTGGGATTCGCTCGCTCTCTCTCTCTCTCTCTCCCCACCCCCCTGTCTCTCTCTCTCAAAAACAAAAAAAAATTAACACAAAAGAGGGCAGGAATGGAGGAATAAAGAAGGTACTGGAAGATTATGTTGTTGTAAACTGAGGGATAAAACTAGGCCGGAGGGAGATAAGGGATCCAGGAAGCAGACGGTGCCACAGAGGAGAGAAGCCGGAGTGGTGAAGGGAAGTCCCAGGGCAGCACCTATGCAGCAGGCCCGCAACCAGGCGGGTCCCAGTCCCCAAGAGAGCAGGAGAGCGGAGAGCCCTGGAGGAGCGACTCCCAGAAACAAAAGCAAAAACAGGAAAGGACAAAGAAGGAAATAGCAGAATACCCATGTGTTGGCATATGACCAAAGATTTTTAGTTTTCTTGCAGAATTTGAGGATGAAGTAGCAATTAATTATGTTGAAAACTGTGGAAATGAAAAAAAAAAAGGGGGGGAAATATTTTTGCTCTACGTCATCTGCAGTCTCAGGGTAAAAGTATGATTAAGTAAATATTCGCACGCCACGTGGCTGTAAAGACATAGTCCTAACAGTGCAAGTGCCGATTCTTGATTTAACCAAAAATAGAGATTAGAATCCCGTTTTGAAGATGGAAGGATAAAGTAAGTGTGTGGTCTGTGTGCACCTGGGGGAAGAGAAGAGAGTTGAATGCTCCTTCTCCAGAGTTGGGAGTCAAGAGAGAATATCGGAAACTGATTTTTAAAAACAGCAGTATAAGCATATTACCAGAGGGAGAAGATGAATACCAGAAGAAACTTAAAGGGAATTTAAAGTATTTGCCTCATGGAAATGGTTCAAGAGATGGGGCGTTTGCTTCTTAAGCGTTGTCTTTTTACACTATGTATATGGATGGCTTTGATTTTTTTCCTAAATGACAAAACACGATGAGATACCACTTGTCACCCGCTAGAATCAAAAACAGTAATAAGCGTACCTAGGACATGGAAAAATTAGAACCCTCAAACGATGCCAGTGGGAAGGTAAAATAGTGTAGTCGTTTTGGGAAACAGTCTGGAAGGGCTGCGAAAAGTTAATTTTCTAGTTACCATAGGACCCAGCAATTGTCCTTCTAGGTCTCCACCCAAGAGAAATGAAAACACGTGCCCACACAAAAACCTGTACACGAATGTTCTGGCAGCATTGTTCCCGATAGCCCCAAATCGGAAACAACCTGACTTTGAACAGCAGATGACTGGATAGACAGATTGAGGCACCTACATATAATAGACTGCTGTTCAGCCATAAAATGGAATATTGATACAGGCAACAGTGTGGATGAACATCCAGAACATTATGCTAAGTGAAAGAAGACAAACCTAAAGGCCACATATTTTATGCTTCCAAGTATATGCCATGTCCAGAATAGATAAATCTATAGAAATGGAAGGTAGATGGATGGCCACTGGCAGCTGGGGAGACGGGGTCAGGAGACTAATGAATGGGTATGGGGGTTCCTCTCTGGGGTGAGGAAGACATTCTGGAATTAGATAGTGGTGATACATAGACAACCTTGTGGATACCCTGAAAACCAGTGAATTGTTCACTTTTAAAGGGTGAGTTTTGTGGTAGGTTAGAATTAGATCAATTTAGAAAACAAAGGTCAAATAATAACAAAAAGATCCACCTAGGCACTTCACCCGTGGATGGATACTCTTGTGATAAAGAATCTTCCACTTCATTGCTCTACTGAATCTACTGAATGGGCTCTCAACATCCCCCAGCGGAGCAGAGGTGACACGGGAAACAAGGGTGGTTATTTTCTGGGGGTCAAGTCTCCCTCAGCCTTTTTTATGCTCTTTGTCCTCTCATCCTGCACTCTCATTATTAAAATCCTTGCCTGTTCTGCACGTACCTGTTCGGCCTCTTCATAGGTCTAATAAAGAGGAGATAATTCACATGGCGAGGTAAGCAACTCCCAGGGAGGCATTTTCTTCTGAACAAATGGGCTTCTTCACTTTTCTGTCAGGAGGGCATTACTTGCCCTCAGGAGGTTTATGACCTCACATTTCCCCTTCTCCTAATCCCTTACGAGGCACACCTTCAAAAAAAAAAAAAAAAAAAAAAAAAAAAAAAAAATCATGTCGTGCAACCTCAGCGGATACAATTTTTGTCAACCTTAACCTCAACAAAGCTGGCCAAGATAAAATCAGTCAGT